ATAATGTTGTGATGCCCGCATTGAACCGCGCTCCCCGTACAGTCAAGAAACCGGTTTGCTCTCGGGTCTTAGTGCGTCCTTTGCCTACCTGTCTTCGAGTTCGCATATACAGGCTGTTCTTCTTGAACCGTCCGTTTTCGATAAGAAATTGCCATCAATTCGCGATGCATTTTATAGCGATTATTTATTTCTCCTGTAATAATATTGCTTGTAAGCATGGTTCAATTTGACCAATATGAGTAATAATTTTAGATACAGCTCTTTTTTCAGTTCTTTGCTTAAATTAGTCCATCGAGACATAAGTAAAGAAAATAAATCTGACTGAGTATGAAGCAAGTGATTCGCCAAACCAATCATGCGGTTTACCTTTGAAAATTTAAAAATTGTATCTGCCCATACCGTATCAAACCGAGACAAAAAAAAATCTTTAAATTAAGCCCACAACATATTAGTATAAGCAGCCTGTGCGATCCATGTAGCAGCAGATCCTTTCATAGCCTTACTAATAACTATTATCAATCGACTTCCCTGTATTTGGTACTCGGTCATACAGCTTGAGCATCAGCATCTTCATTTTCAGGATGAAATTCTGGTAGCGTAAAGTCCTCGATATTATCTTGCGGTTTATCTAAGACCTCCACGAGAAGCTGGATACTATTACTGTGCGCTTCGAATAAAGTACGCCATCGGTTATTATCATCTCTCGAAGTTTCACTTAATAAATTACGTGCTTGCAATGATCCCACTTCTGATGTCAAAGAAAAGTCGCGTTCATTGACGCCATTATTATCAACAGGTCTTGTGGGCGACATTTTGGGTAAATACAAGCACAACACACAACACAAATAATAAACTTGTTTATACTTTTACTAATTTAAATTTAAATTAAACTTCACAGAAAATAACACTAACTAAATTATATTAAAGAATACTAAAATATTTAAAGAGCAGTGAGTTCGTAAGCGACACACATACACCATAACACCAAAAAAGCAAAACAAAACTGTACCCAACGTCAAATCTATCCGCTCATCTTTTGTCTTTTTTTCATCCAGTCGCACCACGACTCCGCTCGAGGCGTTTCATCACAGAACCTCGCTCTGATTGGTTGTTGTGATCACCGTATTAATCATGTCATGAACTTCTGGCTTTTGATTGGTTAATTAAAATAAATACAACAACAGTAAATTAATAAAATAAAAATAAATAAAAAACATTATAATTGATATTATTTAAACTATTTAATTCATTATTAAAATTTCATAGTTTTATTAATTCCCGTTATATATATACATACATATATATATATATATATATATATATATATATATATATATATATATATGTATATATATACATATATATATATATATATATATATATATATATATATATATGTATATATATATTATTTTATTTCAATAAGATTGTCAAAATTTTTCACTTTTAAAGCTACGGATATTTAACTTATTTTATTTTGTTATTTAGAGGCCAATTCTGGCTTACAAATTTCAACAAAAAGATCAGTAAATATATAAGAGAGTTGTTATAAAAATTATTTTTTGATTTCAGACATAATATTCATTTATAAAGGAAACTATTATTGCTGCGTCGTTGTCAACTGTCAAAGCATAACGACAACATACAATTTTTATCAATATGGAATAAATCCAGGTGAGTAGTGTGATAATATTTTATTTATAGAGTAAAGCGCTTTTATTTAGGCCATAAATGTTTAATACTATCGAAAAACAATGGTGCACCTAGCAGGTATAGTGATTCCGTACTGAAAGTTTCTATTACTGGAGAAACATGATTGAAATTTTGAATTAAAGTGTATCTTTGAGAAGTAGATAAATTATTGGAATAAAATATTTCACATTTTGTTCTATTTCGTTCAAGACCAATATTTTTAAAATTTCGAAAAATATGAGTAAGATCACTGAGGACGTCATCTGCTCTGCCTCCCAGTGCACCATCGTCCAGGTACCAGATATTCAGCTTGGATTACAAATTTGAAATAATGGGTTGAATTCCTAAACTGAAAAGTGCTGGACCTAGTGGTTCACCCTGCTGAACACCGACAGCAGAATCGATTACATGGTTTTCGTAAAATAAGTTAGTATTTTGACTATAATATTGCCAAACGTAATGATAAATTTCGGGGGTATTATTAGCCACTTCTTTCAGCAAGGTTACCCTATCAATAGAGTTAAAAGCATTTCTTAGTTCAACCATCACAAGAACATCTGCATCAGAGTTAGTTAAAAATGTACACACTGAATGTACCGCCGCCTCACAGCCACCTCTAGTGCCAAAGCCTAGTTGAGTATGCTGAAATTTTGTCTTAAGGTTAGAGAATATGTACCTGCAAGCTATTTTTGAAGTAAAGCGTCGAAATGTGGAACCAACGGTAATAGGACGGATACCGTTATCTTTGTTTTTGAAAGCACATAATCTTGCCCCATATAACAATGAAATGAAATTTGGATTAACATTACCAGAAAGCATAAAGTTACATAATTTTGTAATGTCTTTAAGAAGTACTCCGCCGGCATCACCAGCAGAAGCTCTTACAACTTTCATGATCTTTAAGATGTTAAGGCGTAATTCCGTCAATGGCGCCAGCAGAGCCATTCGAAAATGACATAATTGCTCCTAACGTGTCTTTTTCAGAAATTTGTAAAGGTTGCATAGAAGTCTTGGGAGGCAGCGGTAAACCCTGAGAAGGTTTGACCGAAGGATGCTTTCGACGAAGGCTTTCAAGAGTTTGGACATTACGAGGAGTCAGGATGTTGTCTGAGAATAAAATACGGGATGCATTTTTTAAGTTGCCATCCATTACTTTCGACTCAACTACTTTTTTTAAATCAAATTTAGGACGTTGTCGAGATAAATGAGTATTAATTGGGTAATCTAAATTTTGAAAAGATGTCTCTTTTAGTTGAGACGTAATTGATTTATTAATTGTTTTATCAAAATGAAAATGGGACTATGCGAAAGTAAATAATTTTTGCCAACTTTTTTCACTATTAGTGAAACAATTTTGAATAGTACATGACAACGCTTTAGCAAGCTGTATGCTCGCGCCTCTAGGAATTCGTTAAAGCACTGGTACATTACGATGATAATTATAAATTTGCTCCGAAAAAAGGGAAAAATTTGTGTCATTAGAGGAATGCTAATAGCTTTATGAATTTCTACGATAGGCTGTGAGGTTGAAATACTTTTAATTTGGCATCGTTTAATATGCATATTTAATCTTCTTTTACCTTTAAACAGCCTACCGTCGGCATAATTTTGACACTGTAGGAAATATGGCTGTGAATGTAAAGTCCTAGTAAGTCAAGTAAAGCCCTAGAGTGGGATGCTACTTGTATAGACACTCTGGCGGCCTTTCATCACAGGGGGACCTCGTTTAGAGCCGGGGCAGCATCAGAGGCAGCTGAACTGAGTAAGTGGCGCAAATATGAGTCTCTGAGAGATGACTACATATTTGTCCGATTTGCTGTAGAGACTATAGGTCTGTGGGGTCCACTTGCGGTGAAGTTCCTAAAGGAACTCCATCCGCGGCTGGTCAATGCTGCTTGTGATAAGAGGGCTGCTTCTTTTTACGCTCAAAGCCTAAGTATAGCCATTCAGCGGGGAAACGCAGCCAGCGTGCTTGGCACGATACCGCGGGGAGTAGGACTATATGATAATTAAGTTTCTAGTTTTAGTTATTTTTTATTATTATAGTTTTTAATATTTTATATAATTAAATTTATTTTTTGTATTATTTCAATTAACTGTTAAATTAATTCAATTATTATCTTAATTTAAAATAGTCTACCATAACACCTGCACTAGGATAAACCTGTATATCAGGTAATGGATACATATTAAAAATATTTACAAATATTTTCTGCTTCTTATATATAATGAATAACATACGAACTAATTAGGGTTAATTCGGTAAAATATACTATTACTATTGTTACGGCCTACGTCTGCTCCCACAAAGATTCAATCCTCCGGGGCCCATCAGCGGAGTTTCAACGAACAGACGTAGGTCGGGCCTCAATATGGCCGCGTGGAATTTCCTATCACAATAAACTGTATAGGAGAACGCTAGAAACACATAGTACTTACCATTATCCGAAGCTAACTTCGCACCAAGACTTGGGCAGGCCTTGAGTGTGTGTAATAGTGGATGGCGAGTAGTGTACAGTGAGGTGTGAATGTGTGAGGCCTTGGCAAGCATAGGCGACCAGCAGCGGCCGAGTTCCAGGGTGCTCCAAAATGCTGCATCGCTTCAGACTGCTTCGGAGCCGGACCACTTCTTTCGTCACTGTCACTAATTCTGTCTCTTAGTTTCATTGTACATTTAACCAACTTAAACTCGCCTAATTCCACACTCATCGCAGAATCAAACTCGTGATATCCGACACGGCAAGGACATTAGCACGAAATTCGACATTGAATGTCCTGGATTCACTTATCACAAATTATAAATTCGGCACCAGAATAACACGTCGCGCCAGAGTCAAAATACGCCTCATTGGCACGCAAATTAATTTAACTATGCAACCAAAACACAAAAAGCACTAACTCGACGACCCAATTATAACGATATCTTGCCATTTAACCGGGAGAAGCTCTCAAACTAGGAATTCGCGGCTCGAATCCTAGACCGTATATCTACTAGACGCGCATACACTATTCCGCACTCTCGCCCGAGTTAAATATCGCACAATTCACATATCTACGCGACGAAGACACGCACTTCATCTAGCTAAGATGCACAATTACTTTCAAAGAATTTCCTTAAACCGTAAAACCCCATAAAGGCCTCTGGTACGGGAACCTAAATCCTAGACCACCAAATCCGAGGTGGATTTCACGCAACCCAATTACGTAGCGAAGCCGCGCCCAAACCCAAATTCTAGAGTAGGGTAATGGTTATGCACGTGTTGCGTGCTGTTTTACCCGTGATAACTCATATCATTAATTTTTCGCCGATGAATGGTATTTTCCCAACTCTCTGGCGTAAAGTATTTATTATTCCCATTCCTAAATCCAGCGATTGCAACGCTATATCCAATTTCAGACCAATTTCTATTCTGCCTTTTCTCTCTAAGGTTCTGGAAGCTGTTGCTTATAAACAGATTTCTTCTTTTATTTTCTCAAATAATATTCTTTCCCCTTATCAGTCGGGTTTCCGCCCTGGTCGTTCTACTACTACTGCTCTTCTCAAGGTGAAGGAAGATGTCCGAGAGGGGATGGAAAAATCAAAACTGACCGTCCTCATCTTAATTGATTTTTCTAACGCATTTAATTCTATTGATCATGATATCTTGTTGGCCCTTCTTTCTCATTTGAATATCTCGTTTTCAGCTCAGGAATGATTCTCATCATATCTTCGAGGGCGCCAACAGGCCATGCGCACTGGACATATACTATCTGACTGGTGTGATGTCTCTACTGGCGTCCCTCAAGGCGGTATAATCTCTCCTCTTCTGTTTTCAATTTTTATCAATTTCATCACATTAAATCTCAAGTGCTCTCACCATCTGTATGCTGACGATCTGCAGTTATATATGCAAGTGGAACCCTCAAACATCTCTAATGCTATCTGATTATTGAATGATGACTTGAAATATATCTCCGAATGGTCCACTGTGTATGGCATAATCGTGAACCCATCTAAGTGCCAAACAATAATCTTAGGTAGCCCACGATTATTATCGAAACTAGATATTCCCACCCTACCATAAATTATGTTTAAAAATAATGTCATACCATTCTCTCCTCATGTAAAGAACCTCGGTCTGTACGTTGACGGTTGCTTAACATGGAACAAACATATACAGGAGGTGAGTCGCAAAACTACTGGAACTTTGCGATCTCTATATCCATTAAAAAAATTTCTTCCCACCAATACCAAGATTTTACTAGTCCAGTCACTTATCTTACCGATTATTTATTATGTCGATGTGTGTTGCTCAGAACTGTCTCAACATATTCTAAATACATTGGATCGTCTACTTAATAACTGTATCAGGTACATTTATGGTCTCCGTAAATACGACCATGTATCTTCTTTTCGTGCTCAGCTAAATTGGCTGCCTATCCATCAGCGCAGATATGTCAGAATGCTCTGCACCATTTTCACAATTCTGAACGATCCATGTGCTCCCGAGTATCTGAAATCCAAATTTCAATACCTGGGAGATTCTCATAATCGCTCTCTCCGTTCATCGGCTAATCTTAAGTTGCTCACTCCTTTACACCGTACAGGTTATTTATCTCAATATTTCGCCCTCACGGCCATCAGACTCTGGAACGACATCCCTTTTGAAATTATGCATGTGAAAAAATTGTTGCAAGTTTGAACTAACATAGCTTTTATTTTCATACACATATGTATATTTCATATTTGTTCTGACATAGATAATATTTATAAGTATCGTGTATATATGTAGTAAATGCATGTATATGTGTATGTATGTATTTATATATGTATATATTGTGTGAATTTAAGTATATATGTCTATGTATGTGTGTGTATATGTATATTTATATGTATAAATGTAAATACATTTTTTTTTTCTTTTAGCGCTTTCTATTTTGATTACTGCTGCACCGCCTCTTGTTTGTATATCTCTGTTTAGCTAGTCCTAATGGTTGACTGGGAGATAATGCCCTATGGCATTAAGTCCGCCATATGTACAACTTTGTTCATGAAAGCTTAAATAAATAAATAAAATTAATCTGCTATAAATAAAGACATCACCACTTAGCTATTTCTGATATGATCTACTTATTTAATTTACATTGTATATGTTGTTAACAGTTTTTAAGGCTTCATGGGCATCTTATAGGTTTTCTCATAATACAAATTAAATACTTTCAATACGTGTTACGATGTTATACTCAAATATCAGAATTTCTACATTGACTATAAATAAAATAAAACCATTCTTATCTTTCCAGAAAGCTATTGTGTTAACGCGAATTATTATAGCACTACTATCTGACTAGGCAGACGTTGTTCTGCCCTTTCCGATGACTATTTGCTTTCCTCAAAAACATTCCTGAAATTAGCAATAAAAAATTTAGGGACACTTATCGGGATAAAAACTATCCTATCTCTCAAGTTGGACCAAAATGCACACAGTGTGCAAAATTTCATTGAAATCAGTTCAATAGTTTAGGAGTCCATCGCGGACAAACAATGTGACACGTAATTTTTTTATGTATAAAGATAATATGTGCCATGCAGTTAATAGCTTCTAAATATTTGTAGTGATCAGTAATCAAATTAAAACAGGAGCACTTAAAATATTTTTACAGACGCCGGTATACTCTTTTTCAAAGCCTATTTGATTACAAAAAATATTGCAAAAGTTATTTACAGTACTTTCTGACGAGGATCGTTATGGCGAAACAAATTCACCCATAAAATTTTTCTTACAAAGCAACAAACCAAAAGTTGGAGTATTAATTAATATCTCAATGGCCACAAAGTGTTTATGCATGCATAAAGTTGGGGCACCACAAAGATAAATATTTTACAAAGAACAATTTGCCTCTAGTTTCATAAAAGTTTGATGCCAGTGGATTTGTAAAGAATCAAGTCCTGTGATTTGTTTGAAGGATTTTTGGAGGGTTGGTTGCCACCTACGACGAATCGACCTGGCAACATATAACGCACGCACCCTGACGACTTACGAGAAGATCCTGGAGCTGGAAGAAAAGATAGGCAAGTTGCGCTGGAATGTTATAGGAATATTCAAAGTTCGAAGAGAGGGGGAGGACACGGTAATCCTCGAATCCGGCAACTTATTCTGTCACCGGGAGGGCGACGATCTGCCCCAAGGAGGTATCGGATTTGTCATCCACAAGTCTCTCGTTAACAACGTAAATGACATATCTTCTCGTCAGAGGTACCTCAGAACCTCAAAACTAGTTTGTTCAACCATAGCGTGTTACCAGTGATGACCTATGGATCTGAGACGTGGTCCTTCACTGCTGGCTGTATGAGGAAGCTCAAAGCTGCTCAGCGAGCTATGGATAGGACAATGCTCGGCGTTTCTCTGCGTGATAGACTTAAAAACGAGGTTATCCGCAGTAGAACCAGAGTAAGTGACATAGTCCTAATATTTAGTATGCTGAAGTGGCAATGGGCCGGCCATATAGCTAGAAGGACCGACAACCGATGGGGAAGAAAGGTTCTTGAGTGGCAGCTTCGTACCGGCAGGCGAAGTGTAGGGCGTCCCCCCACTATATGGAGTGACGACCTGGTAAGACATGCAGGAAGTCGATGGATGCAGGTGGCTCAGGACCTTGCTTTTTTGTGTCATTCCTTGAGGGTGGCCTATGTTCAGCAGTGGACTTGTGTATTGTGATGATGATGACTCCACACCCTTTCTACGGAAGCCTTATAATAGCTCAATATTTTTCGATAAATTGTTTTTAAGTAATAAATTATTTGTTCTTAAGCCATGTTCGTTCGAAGGCTGGACGCGCGGCTTAAATTTAGTAGGCAAGCGATATAAGTAAAATCCTGTCCGGTTCTAAAAATAATAATACCTATTCTTAATTAATACTTTTTTATTACTTATACTTTTATTATTTAACATTTTAATTTAAAGTGCTCATTAACCATAATATTCTCTATGATTTAGGAAAACATTGTACGAAAACCTGAACGTCTTAAAAATTCAAAATCGCGGCGATCTATTCTTTGCTGCAAAAGCTTCGAGAAAGGAGCCTTTTCAATTCGTCTGTATGTTAAAATATATATTAATAAATAAATAAATAATTGTGAACTGATTTTTTTTAATTTTTTTTTACAGAATAATGGTGATAAACGAGCACAGAGTCCAACTGATGGTAAGTGGTTGCTGTTGCCCATAGACAATCTACATTTACCCTCGATAAGGATTCAAACTGCAGATGCATTGTCATCCTTAAGGACTAAGATGGAATGCCTCGTGTACAGTAAAAAGGGTCTTCGGTTCTCTACACTCACCATACGAAATCGTTTTGAGCGTAAAATATCAGCATTAAGCTGCTATGTTATGCTAATTATTAGACAGATGATATCATTTTCGTTGTTTTGATCAAAAGATAGTAAAGACAACTTTTGATCAAAACCACGAAAATGATCTATAAAAATATTTTACTTTTATTTTATTCACAATAACCGACAAATCTTTCAGGTTGTCCCAATAAAAAAAACACAGAATGTACCCTTTTATTATATGTTTTTGTGCAAACTCATGTGCATTAATATCTTTACTATTAAAAGGAACGAACTATTTTCTAGTTTAAAATTTTATATACATAGTATTGTGTATAAAATACTCGTATATGACACGAAAATTATTTACTTGACGTAAAAGCCAGCTTACTCTTCCCAGTAGGCCACATGGTAATATGTATAACACTTTTATGTTTTCTCAGTTTTGCAAACAAAATATACTATGAGAAAACTGAGTGCTTTTAATTTCTCCTTTTTTATATTTTTTAAAGAAAACGTCACCCTCACTCTTAGATTTTCTCCTATATCATGGAGGCAGTTTACAAACATAAACTGCACTAGGATATACATAAAGACCCGGAACAATTATTTGTAGGCCATACATATACTTGTTTCGAGTGGTATTCGAAACCGTAGCCCTCAGCACCGCAATTCGATGCATGCCACTTTGCCACGGAGCTTTCAATTTATATAACCTACTATTTAAATTGATAAAACGGAGTAGCATTTTATAAAAATGCTGAGAATACAATTTCCAATAACACAAGAGGTACATTTATTGACTGGCTCATCTTTAGTGAAAAAGAGCCCTTTCTATTTTATGTATAATACATTCTACTTCTCATACTAAAAACACAGAAAAGCATAAAGATATTATGAAGCATATATTATCAAAATGACGCATGAATATGATTGAAATACACCCTCAAATACTAGAGCTTTCCTAATTTGCAAAATATGTAATATAACGGTGCGTTCTCACATTCTCTTCTTCATCATCAGCCTGTACAATGAACAAGTCTACTGCTGAACTTTTTTATTAAATTAAAGTAACAAGGGTACTTATAGTCCACCTGATGGTAAGTGGTTACTGAAGCCCATATATATTTGTAACCAACTTCAAATAAAAAAGGCTGCAGATAGGTTGTCTACCTCTTACATGGACAAAATAGAAATTCCTCACAGCCTGTAATTATATTGGCTCTTTACATCCTTCAGAACGGAACATGTTATTAGTGCACGCACTGCTAATTGGCGGTAAAAATTGGTAGGAGCGTGGTACACGTATACAAGACATCTTGTTAGGCAAATAAAGTATTACCATCTAGTATATACTACTGTTGTAGGGAAGATTTGCCT